AGGAGTAGGAGTAGGAGTAGGAGTAGGAGTAGGAGTAGGAGTAGGAGTAGGGGTAGTAGTAGTAGTAGTAGTAGCAGTAGTAGTAGTAGTAGTAGTAGCAAAAGTCGTGGAAGCAGAAGCAGCCAGAAGGTGTAGTAGTAGTAGTAGTAGTTGTTGTTGTTGTTGTTGTTTTGTTATTGTAATAGTAGTAGTGGTGGTGGTGGTGGTGGTCGTGGTGGTGGTGGTGGTGGTAGTGGTAGTAGTAGTAGTAGTAGTAGCAGCGGTACTAGGTTTGGATGTTTCTGATGCAGCAGCAGTGGCGGTGGTAGTGGTGGTAGTGGTCGTAGTAGAAGTAGCAGTAGCAGTGGTAGTAGGTAGTAGAAGCAGTCTGGCGGCATGCAGATGGTCACGTAGCTAGATTTCGCGTATCGCTTGAGGTATCGCTTGGGTATCGCTAGGGGTATCGCCGAGAGCAGCTAGACAGTTCGCAAAGGTCAAGGATATCAGATATCATCTATATATCTTCCCAATTGTCTATCCCATTCAGTACGATCCCATCCATTCCGATCTAATCCAAGCTAGGTATCTATCGACCCTTGGGTACAAAGGAACATACTCTTGTCAATGCTGTTTTGTACTGGAGATTTGTCTTCCTTCCTTGCACACACGCGAGGAGACCGGCTGCTGTTTCACACAGCATTGCTGCAAATCACTGATGATGGTATCGCGGCTATGGTATCGCTTCTTCAGGGGTGGTATCGCTGCTCACATGTTTTGCATGGTTTGGAATACCTGACGGCGGCTTCCCTACTAAAGTCATCATCGCGTGTTTTGAACCTTGCACAAATGAAGCGCAAACTGCTACGGTTAGAACATAGAGTGAGCTGTAGCATAGGCTCAAACCAGATATGAGAAGCTAAACCGCAAAGAACAGTTCACTCCACAATGACCATTTTGGGAATACTGAATCCCATTGGGAATGACTCAAACTTTCTACATCTCAACTGACTAGTAGAGCCTCATTTCCACCAAGCTAAACGCAAGTCGATGCGACTTCCCCAACTTGTTTCCCGCAAGGCAGGAGTGGATTTAGAATACACCGAAGCGACTTCCAGGATTGATAGTAGCTGGTTGGTGCTCCGAATCTGTGCTCGCGCGCCAATACTTTGGCTTTGCGGGTGTGGTTGCTGTGTAAATGAGTTCACCAGTCTGGATATGACAAAGTCTTTCTTTTAACAGAGTTCAACGTGTATATCCTCTTATCTTGGCTTAATTACCTCTTCTACTGCCTACTTAGTAGCCAGAATGAATGCTTCCTTAATGGGTGTAATTATTTTTACTACCGTAACACGGCTCACGGCTACGCCTAATGCATTGCAGCCTCTCTACACTCTCTACGAAAGTTGGCCATGAATGGTATTCATTGCCAGATATCAAGCGTATGAAACTTTAGACCCAGGCGAATCCCAGACATTGGCCAAAGAGCGAGCAAACCCATCCATTGCAATTGTAGAATTCAATTGGACTTGCCACGATTCATCAAAGGAAGTTTAGGGTGCAAAACTTCCGCGTTACGGACTTTCATCAACAACAACAACAACAGCAGCAACAACAACAACTACTACCACTACCACTACCACTACCACTACCACTACTACTACTACTACTACGACGACGACATACGACATACGACATACTGCATACTGCATACTACATACTACATACTACAAACTACTACTGCTACTACTACTACTCCTACTCCTACTCCTACCTCCTACCTCCTACCTCCTACCTCCTGCTCCTACTCCTACTCCTACTCCTACTCCTACTCCTGCTGCTACTACTACTACTACATAATATATAATACTACATACTACATACTACATAGTACATATAAAACTACTACTGCTACTGCTACTACTACTGCTACTACCACCACTACTACTACTACTACTACTACTACTACTAATCAGCTTTAGCTCCAGTCAGCTCTAGCTTTAGTTACCTCTAACTCCAGTTAGCTCTAGCTCTGGTTCGCTTTAGCTCCAGGTGGATCTCGCTCTAGTTAGCTCTAGCTCCACTCTTCAACATGCATTTTGGAAGGAAGTCTCGTACAAAATGCTTTTTTCGACAGCTCTAGCTCTAGTTAGCTCGAGTTCCAGTTAGCTCTTGAACATGCATTTTGGAAGCGCCGATTTCGTGGAAGGCGCCGCACTTGGTGAACCTCGATGTGCAGATTTCGTGGCAGGCGCAGCACTTGGTGAACCTCGAAGTGCAGATTTCGTGGCAGGCACAGCACTTGGCGAACCTCGAAGTGCAGATTTTGTGGCAGGCACAGCACTTGGTGAACCTCCAAGTGCAGATTTCGTGGCAGGCAGGGTGTTCAACATTCACTTTGGAAGGGTAAATGCATTTCGAGAGATAGCGGGCGCACGAAATGCTGTGTTTTTCAATACAAACGGTGGCTCCGAACTCTGCGGAACGACGGTTGCGGAACGTCCTCGCGTCATGCTCGAATTGTCCCTCCATTGTAACTAGAGCTTTCACGTGTTTCTTGTGTACAGATTTCGTGACAGGCACAGCACTCTGTGACCCTCGATGTGCAGATGTCGTGGCAGGTGCAGCACTTTGTGAACCTCGAAGTGCAGATTTCGTGGCAGGCACAGCACTTGGTGAACCTCGAAGTGCAGATTTCTCGAAGTGCAGATTTCGTGGCAGGCACCGCACTTGGTGAACCTCGAAGTGCAGATTTCGTGGCAGGTACAGCGCTTGGTGAACCTCGAAGTGTAGATTTCGTGGAAGGTACAGCACTTGGTGAACCTCGAAGTGCAGATTTTGTGGCAGGCACAGCACTTGGTGAACCTCCAAGTACAGCACTAGGAAAGAATAGCACAGCAAATGCTGGAGGACATGGCTTTGGCTTTGAAAACACCACCCAGTTCGCGTACACGCAGCAGCAGCACTTGACTTTCGATTGCAGATGCCCAGTTGGTTCAGCACGCCGGTGTGGGCTGCTGATCTTGCTGTGGCATAGACACAACATGGGTGGCGCTGCCAGCGGCTCCTTTGGACCAGTACGCTGTTGCGAGCTGCTGATCCTGCAGGGGGCACAGACATTACACGGGTGGCGCTGTGTTGGCAAAAAGTTCGGAGTGCATGGTTCTGGCTGAGGGACACGCATGTTGGAAAGAACCAGCGGTCGGACTGGGTTGACTGGGCATGTGCAAAGGGACACTCCTAGGACTCCTAGGTCAAAGTGTTTTTATAGGAAACGTCCGCCGCCGGCTTGCCCGGGAACTGCTTGTACACTTATTCAAAAATGCTATATATATAGAATATGTTTGAGCAAATCCCACCCTTGAACATCATACGTAGCTTCGGCGACCTTCCATACTGGCCGCTCATTCGCGCTTTTTCAAAGATAAGCTCAGAAAAAGACGCACGTCTTCAGGCGCTAGATTGTCTAGACTCTCTAGACTCTAGAAATAAAAAGGTGGTTAATCCAAGACACCTTCCAAAGATTGCCTCCCAAAAAATATTCTCTTGGAGATTCTTGGAGGTTGGTTTCAGATTGGATCAACCCCCCCTGGGGCGGACAGGGGCCACCAGGCAGGTCCACAACTGTTCAAACAACTCCACAGAGCAGCAGACTATATAGTTCGAAGCATCGAGCTGTGGACCCTGTGGTCTGAACTCCAGACCCAGGTGTGAAACCTGTCAGATTTCAAAGGAGATCTCGACTGACCTGGATGATCGTTCACAAAGTCTGACTTGGGAAAGTTCTAGTCGGCAACCTTCCAGCCTATGCTTCAACTAGAAGCGCCACAGTATTTTTTGCCAGCAATGGCAAAGTACCTGCTTCCACTCGCGTCTAGTTTAACACCCGGTAGGAGTAAACAGGTTTGAAGGAGACTGCTCTTTCATCGCTTGAGATCATCCAAGTCTTTAACCAGGAGGAACACCTACGCTTTGCCTCACAGGTCAAAAGGTTGGGGGATGGCTGGGATGGCCTGTTAAAGCTGGGGTTGGGCCTTCCAACAAACTGGAAACCGCTTGCAAATGATCCCTGTAGTATAGTCTTTCCCTGATTGAAAGTGGTTCCAACCCCGATTCGCCCTGGCCCGTTCCGGACCAGGAGACTCTTTGAGACTCGGTCAGCCATGCTCACGGTAGATCTCTGCCAGGGAGGCCTAACAAGCACCCCTTCGTGAGGGCGGCAACACCCCAAGAAGCTGCAGGGTCGAAGGACCGCGGCGTCGGCATCCTTTTGAAACTGAGAAACATCTGAGATCCTCCTGCCTTGACAAAGAGTGGAAGTGTTGTGGCTGTTCTCTCAAGCTCCTGCGAATGCAACAGCTCCAAAAGGTGACGAACACGAGAGTCATATCTTGCGATGCAGTATCAATGACAAAGAATCAAACTGTAAAACACTATATAGAACCAATCGTATCGCGAGGGCACAGTCCGCACTTGTCCCCAACCGATAGAAAGAATGCTTTGGAGATGCATCTGTGCGCTGAAACAGAAACTTAGAAATGGCTCTGTGCGCTGAACCGCCAGCCTGCAAGTAGCGAACTACCTGAGGCGGTCCAAAAAGAATCTGAGACATCTGAGACGCTGTCCGGTCGCCCGGGGCATTACATGGCTGAACT